AAACCTCAAATTGCAAGGCAAAAAAGAAAAAAAAGTGGAGAAACAAGAACCAGCATGATAATGGAAAGAAAACACTTGGGTGTGTTTTCTTTTTAAACTTAAAATGACAATATCAGCAAAAAAAGGAAGAAACTGTCGAGGTGGGGAATAATCAGATTGTGTTTAATCAGAAAGAAAAACCTTGCAGGCAATTTGTAACAAGCAAAATGCATACCAAAAAGAGTTCATACATCAGACACCTTTTCAGACTGATTTGAGAATTTTTAAATCTTGTTTTATTTCTTAGGGGTTGTCTACACACGCAAAAAAAAAAATTGTCCTCACTTTGTTTCCAGTTCTGTATGTGCCATGACAGTTGAACCTGTGTCAATTACATTAATTCTGCAGTGTGGCAGTAGCCCAAGAGAACCCAATGTTTGTCCTGTTTCGCAGTGAATTTGCTTCATTTTAGGCAACAAGAATGTTAAAAAATAACTTTTTTGTTTTGAGTTTTAGGAAAAAACTAAATTGTTTGTACATATGTTAGGATCAGGATGGAATTGGGGTGGGCTAACTGGAGGAAGCTTGAGATGTGGAGTTTATCACACGGAGGAAATCCCGTGCGGAAACGGGGCTTTAAATTAGGGAAAAAAAGCAAAAGCGGTTAGATTTTCAGACGACCTCACTGTTAAAATGGAGTTAAAATGAGGTTAATCCGAACTCATAAAAAACTGCTTCTTTTTACTTTCGGGATTTTCCAGAAAGATTTTTTTAAATGAGGTATGCTTTATCCTTTATCACAAGTTGAATATGTTTTTAACTGTTAATGTTTTAATTAGATTGTATTCATTTTTTTTTAAAAAAAACTTTTGTATTATATTTTGTAATGTTTTCTATCATCCCCTTCTGTAGCTTCCTTCAACTTGCAGTCCACTAAATGTACTAGACTACAGCTCCCATCTATCTTGTGGGTAATAGCAGTTGCAGTACAACACTGCAAGATTTGGAGAGATGAGTCTTGGGGAAAACTGCTGTGTTTATTTGAAAGCCAAGAACATACATGTTCTTTGAATTAAGTATATCTCCAAGGGTTGGTAAGCTCGAAACATAGCATCCTAGTGTAGTTGCCTTTGGAAAGAGATCACTGATGACTAATTAGCATCTGATAGTATTTATGTTTACACATATATAAGTTGAGAATAGGAATCTAATAGCCGTTTAGAAAATTACAAATTATTTTTTAATTACATTTAATTCTGAAAACTTTACATTTCATGTAAAGTGAAAATGGACCTTTCCCCTGTTTTGTAAGGTTTCCAAAGGACCCCATGAACATGGGCAAAGTTCTCCCACTGCAACATGGGATGGCCTTTCTCTCTGTCCCACCACCCTCCCAGATACATCTGGTGGGAAAACAAGAGAAGGACTTGTCAATGGCTGCTCCCAAGCTCTGGAGCGCCTTCCCTAGAGAGATTACACTGGCGCTGTTTGCTATCCTTCCATAGGCAGCTGAAGACCTTTTTATTTTGGCAGGCCTCGGAGGGCTGATCACTCAGGCAGGAAGGGGCCTTGTATGTGTTGTGTTGTTTAGATCTATTGTTCTTTTTAATAATCTGCTTTTAATTTTACTGATAGCTGAATTAAATTTTAACTGTTGTACAATGTAAGTTTTTTAGCTCTTAACTGTTTTAACTTTTGCAAGTCATCTTGAGTCCCAAATGCAGGATATCTGTAAATAAATAAATATAATCATCATAATCATCATCATTATCATAATGTAGTCTAGGGGTGGGGAACCTATGTCCTCCAGGTTCTGACAAACTATCTTTCCCATCCTGCCTCACCACCAGCCAAGATGAAATAACTTTTTAGCCAAGTTCACAAGGGCTTGGTTATAGCTCTTCCTCTTGTGGTGATGCTACATTAAGGGAGGAACTACAACCAAACCCTCATGAGCCTAACTAAAACTTCTTTCATCTTGGCTGGTGGTGAGTCATGATGGAAATGGTAGTTTGTCAGAACCTGGAGGCCATAGGTTCCCCACCCATGATCTAGTCCAGCCATTGCCATGCAAGAATCTGCAAAAGGTGGCCACCAAACCTCTGTTTAAAAAAGTTCCAATGAAGGAGAGGCCACCACTTTCTGGGATGGTCTACTCTACTGTCATCAGGCTGAGGGCATTCTTCCTAATGTTTACTTCCTTAGGGCCAGAGTCAACCCCTCTCAGTTCTGAGGGAAGGGTAGCCCTTGGCACCCCCACCCCTGCTTGTGTCCCAGCTGGCATGGCCAAGGCCAGAATCTACAGGGATACAACTTACCACCAGACTCTTCCTGGCTGGGAAATGGAGGCATAAAGGTAAACGTAGAGGTTCTTCTTTTGACGTGATTGTCTAGTTGTGTCCAACTGCATGGGGCGGTGCTCAATCTCCATTACTAAGCCGAGGGAGCCAGCGTTGTCAAAGACAACTCCATGGTCATGTGGTCAGCATGACACACAGAAAGCTGTTACCTTCCCACCAAAGTGGTTCCTATTTATCTACTTGCTCTTTTACATGCTTTCAAACTACTAGGCTGGCAGAAGCTGGGACTAGTGACAGGAGCTCATTCCATCGCACGGTGCTTGGGCCACGAACTGCTGAATCTGCCAACCTTGTGATCATCAGAGTCAGTGTCTTAACTACTAAGCCAGAGTAGTAAGTGTTAGCAACCACTGCCAATGAAGGGAAAGATCTACAGCCCTTCTCTTCTCAGGAGCATTCTCCCACAGCATCAGGTGTGCATGTGTTTATGCACATACACACATGCATATATATGTAAGCAGTATGGAGCATTTGCTCCAGCTGCACCATTGATGATCGAGCCTTGCCTACTGACACTATTTCCAGTCCCTATTTTCCACTTACCCCAATGGCTCCCCATCATGGCAACTGAGTGATGCTCTGTAACTTTCCATGCAGAGACTGAAGCTGTGGAAGTGCTGAATTGCCTTTACTGCCTTGCTTCTGATATAGCCACAAAAGTAGCTACATTCTGGAGAGAGTTTTGGATGGATTGACATTCCTTGTCCCACCACGTACAAAATTTCCCTGGAAGTGACACTTTGGAGACACTTCACCTTGGCACTGTCTCCTTAGTGCAGCAGCTGGGCTGCTGATTTGTAGAAAACATATTGTGGCATTACTTACATTATTGTAGCTTGTTGTGGGCACCAAAGCTCTCTGACAAACACCTCACAAAACTACAGTTCCCAAAATTCCATAGCATTGAGCCACAGCAGTTAAAATGGTGTCAAACTGGATTATTTCTGTAGTGTGGATGAAGCCTAAAAGAGCATTAATGGGTTCTCTAAGACCTTGTAGATACAAAGAGCAGTGTGCTTCAAGACTGGAAATACAAATAACCATCACCCAATATTCAAGAGTCTGAAGATCTCACTGCTCTTTTTCCCTTGCATGCATCATTTTTGGTTTCGCACTTTGGGGGGCATATGGGTTCCCTGTATCAATCCACAAACATAACTGTGTATTGTTCGATGCCCAGTCAATTCTATTTTAAAAAAAAAAAAAAATGACACACACACCCTTTCCACTTACCTCCTTCTGCCCCTTATGTTTGTAAAAAATAATGAAAATTGGCAAAAACAAAAACAAAAAAAACGAGAAAATAAATATTACAAGATACAATTACAATAATTTGCATTGCATTTTGGCAACTAAGTAGCAATAGTGTGTGTGTGTGTGTGTGTGTGTGTGTGTGTGTGTGTGTGTGTTACTATTGTTTTCATCCTTCCAGCAGAGTACCACAAAAGAATTACTCATCTAATTGTTTTGCCTAGACATTAGTGGGGCACAGGTTTTACAGAGTGTACTGATACTGACTCAGTGCCTGCACTATGCGGCAGGCTCAACGTTTTCAAAGCACTCTTTTAAGTTAATACCAGTTTATTACACTGCAGAATGAAGGCTGAGTGCATTTTCCAGCGCTGCTAAATCCTGTTTTGGAAGGCTTATACACTGTGTCAAGCAGCAGGAAATTTAGGGTAGTATTTTCCCCTTCCCTCATACAATAAAACACCAAAGGCAGGACTGCAACCCCCCCCCC